CCATGGGCAGCTGCATATATGATGCAAATATAATAATACTCAAGCATACATGGTTACACATACAATGAAATTTAAATTTTAAAAACTTATGCAAATATCTGCTTGAGTTTTAAACAACTTGATGCTTTGCTAATGACCCAAATTTGAACTGAATAAATACTCCGCAGTCACAGAATTGAAGCTTGAAGAACCCAAAGCATTAGCATCTGATACAAGCCACAGTGTCATTGATGGGGAATGTTTGACCTGCTACCCAGTGGTCTGCCTAGTATAAGATCCATTTAGCTACCATCAATAGTAAAATCAAGCATCATATTTTAGTATAGAAAATTCCATGTAACTTATGTCCGATATTACCCTTAGCTAAACATATCTTATAAGAATGAATAAATTAATACAACATTCATTGATCTTCACTCAATATTACAGAAAATTCTCACTTGGAAATACTCCCACTTATAGTAGGCATTTGAACATTAATAATCATGTGGCAGCTTGTCACTGGTGTTGAAAGCGAGCTGAGCAGCATTGTGCAGGCACAGAACACAGTGTACTATCTGAACTACCCCTTCCATTCATTCCCCTCCTACCTGCGAGTAATTAATACAGTGTAATTATATTAAATGTAAAGAAAGGGAAATGGAGCCACAGAAAAGAAAGTTTGTCCAAATGCATTTAGCTAATAAATAACGCAGCACGGATCTACGCTAAGTGCCTTTACTCTGCTCCCAAAGTCCTCACTTTTATTCATAAAGCCATGGAGGAGCTAATTCATGGTCATGAATTTATACTGCAGTATAAACAAATGACTGATACTATAATATATTCAACCTAAGGATTAGAGCATTCAAACACCTGTGTATCAGAAAACAAAACAATGCAAGCACGTCTTAAAGAACAAAGCTTAATCGGACTCATTATTTTGCTTGAAGGTAGAATTCATAATCCTGATATTAATAATTTGCAATGTTAAGCAGCATTTGGAATAGGCATCCCTGTGCTTTGTCTCCGTGTTGTCAGGTGTAAATTTGAGAGCGCTCAACAGTGGACCAGCACTTTCTTTACTGCAGCACCGAGAGTTCATACTGAGACATGAACACACAGCTCTTGAGCTCAGAAGGTGTTTTTGATTCACGGGGCAGGGCAGATGCCTGGTGTTTTCTCCCAGATAAACCTATGATGGCTATGCCACCATCTATTTGCCTTTGTGTTTAAACTTCATTTTTCTTTATGTTTTGGGAAATATTTTAGTGAGTATTTCAGATTTGATGAGAATGGTTAAAAATGAGGAACACCTTGACGTTGAGAGCCCGTAGCACATATATCCTATTAGGAATCACCAGGCGTTGCTCAATAGATTGGCACCAAGCATAGCAACTGCATACAGTATAGACGAATGTGACCTGGGCTCCCTGCTCTGCCCAGCAGTCCAGCTCTTTGTAGCTCCATGGAACTAGTTGCCAGGTAGGAAAATCTACCGTCAAATGTCCTTGGAAACATGATAAATAAATAAACAGGCAAGCAAAACAAAATACAAAAACAAACTCAAATCTGGAAGAACCTAGTACATTACGAACAAATTGACCAAAAAGTAAACCCAAACCATGAAGCAGTATTGGCTCAGGACTCTGGGTGATGACTGTGTCACCTGCTTCTCAGAATTACTGCTTTTCTGTATTTCTCATTTCCTAACTTTGAAGGAACTGCCTTCGGGAATTCTTTTTTATAGTATGGCCAATCTCTACCTAGCCCTTGATTCAGAATGACTCCAGTGCCTGATTCCAACTTGACTTCAGCAGTCACAGTACCTTGGGCAAGGCACTCTCACAGTGGAATACTCCAGTGTGGGACAGGAGGACTGAGTGAAAGATGGGAGTCACACTGGCTCCACTTAGCACTCTGTTTAGGGGAGGTGAATGTTTAAAGAAAGCTGGGAACTTTGAGAGGCTGGGGAGACAGGCAACTTGGGTCTGGGCAGTGCTTGACTTGCAAGCATAAGGTTTCAGTTCAAAATACAGAATTCACAAGAAAAAAAAAAGCTAGACAGAGCAATATGCCCTTGTGAATCTGTGGGACTCCCAGGCTGGCCTCTCTAGTCTACTTGGTAAGTTCGAGGTCATTTAGAGACCCTGTCTCAAAGAAAAACTGCATAGTGACCGTGGAAGAATACTGCTAGTTGTCCTCTGACTTATACACCATGTACAACACACACAAACACACACCCACATACATGTGAGCACACATACACACACACTCACACACATACACACATGAGCACACGCACATACACACACATGAGCACACACACACACATACACACACATGAGCACTCATACACACACTCACAGACACACATAGACACACTCACACACACACAACACACATGGGCACACACACACACACACACATACACACATGTGAGCACACACACACACCAGTTCCTCTGCATGCATATGATTACCATCCTCTCCACATAAAAGCAGTTTTGAAAAATCTGTTTTAACTCACTAATTGGATAAATGCATAAATGTAGATAAATTACCCATCTCGATAAAATAATAAAATCATTTCACCAAACCTGGTTGTTAAGCCAAAGGATCAAGCCAATTACGAAGGTTGTTTTAAGAATTAAAAGGAGGGCTGATGAGGGACAGTTCAGTAGACAAAAGTGTTGGCTGCTCTTGCAAGGGACTGGAGTTCAATTCCCAGCACCAGATAGGGGTGAGGATCACAGTGGCTGGAGACTTCAGCTCCAGGCACTCCAACTCCATCCTCAACTCTGTGGGACCAGCATGTACATGCATATGCACACACCTTTCTCCTACTCACACACACAATATAGACATATATGGAGAGAGAGAGAGAGAGAGAGAGAGAGAGAGAGAGACAGAGAGAGACACAGACAGACAGAGACAGAGAGGGGGGATCTTAAGTCAAGTCAAGCTACCAGTACACAGTGGAAAGCAGCCATGCCCCTTGCTTTCCTGGGGAAGCCACCAGTGCCCTGGGGAGCATTTCCCCTGCAGACTGGGATGTACATCCCAGCTGGAGGCTGTGTGCTACACAGAAGGACCTTGCTCGGCAAAGTTTGTGTTTATGACTTAAGTTTTTAAAAGAGGAATTTGGAAATGCTCCCAGATGCTGCATCTGCCCCAGGCCCTTGCACATCAGAGGATGAGGCCAGTGAGGGAGACAGCAAGGATGACTAAATTTATTAGGGACAGCGGGCTACTCTATCTTTCAGCACAGCAACAGTAGGTGATCCCATCAGAAACCTGCCTGTTGGCTGGCCTGCAGATCCAATCAGATATGCTTACAGCAGCCAGCCCCAGGCGAATGGAAACAGAATGCTGCTTCCTGAAAGAAACGAGTCTCACGTCCAAGTTCAACCAGAGTCTCAGCTGCTTTTTTGTATTCTAGAGAGTCCATCAGCTGTGACTTCCTCCTCACAACCTCTGTTGACTTTCTTTTGTTGTTTCTCCATCACAAAAGATATTAAGCAGAAGTTCAGCATGTCAGGAAACTTGAATTCAATTTTTAATTATGATGATTTCGATGTGTGGGGAAAACAGTTAAGCACGCATTAATCTCAATATATCTCAGCTAACAAGTAATCATGATTTACGACAGGCATACATGGGCAGCCAATCTCACCCATAAGCCAACTGTTTACTCTTTTAGGTAAAATCAAAACAGTGACATTGGATGTTCTAGCTCAGACTCCATTTCATTTCATTGCCTTTTCATACTAATATTTTAAAATATGGTATTTACAAAAAAATTCTCATTGATTAAACAAATATCTGAGTTTACATACTAATATAAACCTTGTACTTTATGTGCTTATTTTATCGTGTGTGTGTGTGTGTGTGTGTGTGTGTGTGTGTGTGTGTGTGTGTGATCTCGTGTGTGAGCATGGGCACTCATGCCAATGTAAGCAAGTGGAGGTCATAGGACACCTCTTGGTGTAGACCCTTGTCACTCATCCATCTTACTTGAGAAAGGGCCTACATGTTGTCAATAGTTCAGGCCAGGCTAGCTGACCTGAGGCTTCTGGGGATTCCCCCCTCCTCCTGTAGCTCCATGATGCTACAGGAGCGCTGGCTTTAAAGTTACACATTGCCATCTCTGGCTTTAACTTGGGTTCTAGAGATCTAAACTCAGGTCCTTGTTTTTACATGACAAATGTGTAAACCACACAGCCATCTCTTCAACCCCCTCATGGTTTTTGTTGTTGTTGTTTGTTTTGTTTTTGTTTTTGTTTTTAACAGAAACGTGAAGTCTGGACATAAATCCTCCAATCAAATATTTTCTTTTCTAAGAGTTGTCTTGGTCATGTTGTCTCTTCACAGAATAGAATAATGCATAAGAATTTATTCTTTACATGCACATTATTTCCATTGATTTTCATGTTTGCAGATATTGCCTTCACTGTTGTTTACATCAACTTTGTCAACACCTTTAAACTTTGTGCCTGTGACAAGTGCAAACCTCCTTGGCTTCACCACAGTGCCCATGGAGAGGAGCAGGGGGGGGGGGTTCCACAGAATGGGGAGACATTAACAGTTGTTGACTCAACTACAAAGGTTGGAGATAAAACAACCCTCAGATACATATTGTCACCCTCTCCCCAGTCAAGGTAAATGTTCCTTCTGAGTCTTTTCACAAGCCATGGTGACCACATGTGTTCTCTATGGACATGAGGGATTCCTTGAGCCCTTCTATGAGCGGGCTGCAGCATGTTCTAATACATAAGGATGGAGGCTACCCAAGGACGCACTTTGATCCAATGAGCTCTCCTTTCTTTCCTTTCCTCACATGCCTCCTATCTGCCCCCCAAACACAATCCTAAAGGGCTGGATAAGTTGACACAATCAGGCTACTATTATAAAAATGCTGAGTTTATTTTTCCATAAATAGACACCATAAAAAATTCATTGTTAAGAGATATCAAAATAATAGACAACACCTTGGGGCGTAGTGCTTCTCAAATAAAAGTGTCATCTACACTTACCTATAAAATCTGGGTGAACTGTTTTGGGAAATCTGCAGTACCCATCTCCAACAAAGCAGGCTCTCTGTGTCCCAGGGAGGGATAGTACACAGGAGGAAGACCATTGACTTCTGCAGGAGGAAGCCACCAGAGATGGACTGTAGCACTGTTGACTCCTGTCACCATGGGAGATCTTAGCTGAACAGGGGCTGAATGACACAGGACACAAAAGGACACTGAATAAAGCAGTGAGACACACCCTTGTGCACATCACACTTAGAGTTGAATCAATTGTTGTCATGGGTGCCTACATAATTCTATGACTGGGAAACAGAATGTAGAGTTGAGGGCAGCGATGACTAAACAAAACTCAAATGACTAACAAACCCCTGATACAAAACACATACACAATGAGGAAGCCTCTTACTGGAAATAATTTCTACTTTTCTTGCCAAATAACAGATATTACAGCCACTATGAGTGCCCTGAGCCCCCAATTATATGACTGTTGATTTCAAAGGTTCCTTTGCTGACTGCCTCTCTGGATGTCTCTGACAGAGTGGATGTTGCCTTATTTGGAACCTACAGAACTGTAGTTTTGAACTGTGCCCAGCCTATGACCAGCACTTTTCACAGAAGCAGAGCCTCTTGTCCTGACCTGCACTAAACTGGTACTAAGCAGGTAGCAGAAATAATGGACATGGACAAGGGGGAAGGAGAGGAAAGACTGACTTACCAGGAACAGGGTATAGGTGACTTGATCCCACTATGTCCCCCAAATCAATTGCTAATATAGAACTAATGACCTTAGGTTGTGAAACAATGTTTACTTCATTTTATTATCTTATTCTTAACATATTGGGGTTTTACTCTAGAGGGCCTCACACTCTACCTCTCTGCTATAGGCCTAGTCTATAGTTTGTTTTCATAGACAAATGGCTTTAAAATATTTGAACATTTACTTATCATGTGGTATGTGCATATGTGCACTTAGGCTCATGAACTTATTATCATGGCATGTATATGGAAGCCAGAGGGCAAAGTCAGGGAATCATTTCTCTCCTTCCAGTATACAGGTCATGATAACTGAACTCAGGATGCAAAGCTTGTGACAAGTGAGTTTGCCCACTGATTAGATTTTATTCAGTCAAACTGAGAGGAAGGCACAGATTTTATCCACACACCCCATGCCCTGCACAAACATGGCCTTTCTTCTCATGTCTATTTTTCATGAGTTATTCTCACAATGGATGAGTCTGCACTGAGGTGCCATGTCATACAAAGCTAAATGTTCTCTATGGGTTCACTGCTGTATAGGCTGTGGGTTTAGGAAAATGTCTAACACATATCCATCATTGTAGTTTCTTACAACATATATATGCATAAATATGTGTGTATATGTATCTGTGTGTGATGTGTGGTGTGTGTGTGTGTGTGTGTGTGTGTGTGTGTGTGTGTGTGTGTGTGTGTTTTGTGACAGGGCCTTTCTATATAGTCCAGATGAACCTTGATGTTGACTTCTTACCACAGCCTGCCAAGTCCAGGGAACTACCGTGACCAGCAACATACAGGGCATTTTTGACTTCTGCCAAAATTCTGTTAGTCATTTATCTGTGTTCTCAACTCCTTCTCACAACTACTGATCTCTTTATAATCACTATAGCCTTTTTGCCTTTCCCACAGTAATTTGGGATCATAAAGTATACACTGATTTCAAGATTAAAATTCCTTTGACTGCTTCTTAGCTTCAGCACTATTAATATTTCATTCTCTCTGTGTGTGTTTTTATTTATCCATCTGGTAAAGCATGGCATGATCAACTTCCTTTTACCAATTATCAATAAAGTTGGTATAAATATGCATGGATGCAGAGGTTACTGTATCATCACTATTTCTTAAGTCTTCAGGGGGTCAGAAGCACTAGGCCATATGCTAAGAACACGTCTTCAGAAGTAGCTGCCCCATTACCTAGCCATGCCACCAGTGCAGGGCAGGTCTTAGATATTTCAATGCATGTGAAATGATATCAGTGTGCACTTACTGCCTCACTTACAGTGAGGACCATCTTCGCATCCTTAATTATTCTCTCTCTCTATATATTCTTTGGGAAGGCAGTTATTTTCATGTGTAATTTCCTGATTTTTATCCTATGCTTAGAACTGACAGAAATGAAAGCAAACAGACAAGCAAACGCCACTCTGAAGACAAAACAGAACATCTGATGTACAGCACCTTGCAATGCTAGTATAAGCATAATGGCTTCTAAGTCTTGCAGTAACCATGGTCTCAGACTTGTCTCAGTCATTACTCAGGGACCACTGCTGAGGCATGGTGAGACCTGGTACACTCAGATCCCTTATAATGGCAACTCCTGGGAGCAGCTAAGAGATTCTGCTAATAAACAGTGTTTAAAAACTGTCCATGTCACATGATGAAAGGAAAATCTAACTAAAAGCTGAGTTATTAAAAAATAAATGCCAATATTCAAGTATGACATCTTTTTTGTTGGAGAGAAGATTTTCCATATAGCTCTTCCTGGCCTGGAACTTGCTATGGAGACCAAGCTGGCCTGAATCTCACAGCAATCCTCCTGCCTCTGCCTCCTGAGAACTGGAATGGAAGGAATGGAGCGTCAGTGATGGATGGCCCCACCTTCAATGATGTCATTTTGCTTTAAACTGTTATTAGCAGGCTAACTTCCATCCCTTCTTTAAGCATGTAGGCTGAATTGGAGAGGTGAGAGAGAAGAAAGTAATGAACACAACTATAGCCAAGTTTTTTTTGCCCAAGAACCCAAACTATGTTGGTGAACTTTTTGTTTACATTTCTATTAACACAGCCTTGGACAGAAAAAAGAAATCATTTTCTGTTTCAAAAAACATGATGTGGTATGAGTCCAAGAGCTGAAATCCTAAAAGTGTGACAGGGTGCTCACCTTAAGAGCATAGAAAGAAATATTACCAGTTACCCAGAATTGCTGGCCAACTTTCCAAAGAGAATCAGCCAGCTACAACTCTATTTTAACTTTCAGAAGGAGCAGAGCAAAAAGTTCATTGACTTAAATAGAAAATTAACAACTGTATTCATCATCTGCTGCAGGAATCTGTGTGATATTTTTATACATGTATGAATCATATATGCATGGCTTCTCTTGGTACTCTCTGCCAAAATTTAGCTAAATGGAGTGTTCTCAGTTGTCATTCTAATAATCTAAAACAAAATAACAAGATAAACCAGCCTGAACCTTTTGCACTCAGTTTATATTTGGAGCTGAAACTCCCCTGCATAATTTTCTGTGGCTGTCTATGCATTGTTACAGGCTCAGGTGGGCAAGAAGGCCCTTCATGGGTTTAGCAACAATTAGCATGGTTTTCTTTATAATTTGACTTTTTGTATGTATGTGCAAGGGTGTGTGTGTGTGTGTGTGTGTGTGTGTGTGTGTGTGTAGACCATAGGGGCATCTCAGGTGGTGTTATTCTGTTACTTCTTGAACACAGTCTCCTTCTTTGAGGTACAATGTTTTACAGGCTTGGAGCTAGAGACAGATCAATGAGACTGGTCTGGCTGGCCAGCCAGCCCCAGGAATACTCCTGTCTCTGCTCCCTGGTGCTGATATTTCAAGCACATACCATAATAGCCCACATTTTCATGTGGCTTCTGGGTACCAAAATCCTCTTCTCCCCTCATCTGCCCTTTTTACTTTACAGACAAGGAAAGGTTGGTATTTGAGCCCTTTGGCTATATCAGTTTCTGTATTGTACATAGGATCCTCAAGTGTTTCAAGCACATGAAGTTGACATTTTTAGTTTGAAAAATTCCATCCAGTCCATTTCCACTGATGTTCAGAAGAACTCTCTCAAATGAAGAATTTTTTCTACATCTACTCAATTTAAACTAAAGACTTGAAGCTTGGATAAATGTGGTGACACCTTGCTTGTACAAATAAAGCCTGTCTTGAGGGTCAGAGAATGGCGCTTGCCACTTGCTAACCATAGAGGTCTGGAGGTCTGTACAGACAGACAGACAGACACAGGCACGCACGCACACACATGCGCGCGTGTGCGCGCGCGCACACACACACACACACACACACACACACACACACACACGAGCTTAGCTTAAGGAGGGTTACTTGCCAGAGTGTCAACACAAAGGGATTATAGACACACAAATATGTCTATTAAATTATCTGTCATCCTAGCAAAACAAACTAAGAGATATCTTGGAGCAATGGAAACAACTTTAGGCTTCTTGAAAATGTTTTCATCTTAATGTCTTATGCTACAAATATTTCAGAGAAATCATTTAAACTTTATCTTGTTTGCCTGAGTTATCCTACCTACAAATTGAGGAAGAATTTCCAATGCAATACATTAATACCCACTGCCACTTCCATTCAAATACATAGCCTAGTTCTTTTTAAAATGTGTGTGTGTGTGTGTGTGTGTGCGCGTGCACACGCGCGCGCTGTGCTTTCCTTCATGTGTGGTGAATAGGTTTGCTTGTGTCCATTTGTGGATCCCCTGAAGAGGACTGAGGAGGCCTGGTACCCCGCCCTGTCATCATCTACCCCAGCCCCCTGAGATAAGGCTCTTTCATTGATCCTGGATCTCATTGCTGCTCTTCAGCCAGACTGGCTGTGCAGGAACAGGAAGCCCTAGCAATTCTCTCATGCCCACCCCTCTAACAGCACTGGGCTTACAGACGTGAACACGCAGCCATGTCTGGTTTCTGTGTGGGCTCTCAGGTCTGAATTCAGATCCTTGCATTTACACAGTAAGCACGCATATCCACTGAGCCCACTCTTCAGCTCCCTAATAACTTTATATTTTACAAAAATTGTTCTGAAATGCTCAGCTATTCCACTTCCTTTATGCAGCATTTGCTACCCTATTATCTGATTAATAGCACAGCATAATGAATAAATTTACACTTGCAAATTTTATGGAGCATGGAGTCTTAAGCCAGACACTCATAGGTCTTTAGCATCAAATCACTTCATTTGTTTTCAAAACCTAGTGTGTGAAGTCTGTGTGGTAAGTCATTCACTATGACTGGATACCATCTACTTCCTACAGTAAGGCCAGGCATCCAGATGTGACTAGAGTTTCCTTTGTTCAGTGTGCATAGGGTATAGCCTAACATAGGACATCTGTGGGCACTCTGTCAAAACAAAATTATTTTGGCTTTTCCTCAAAGATCTAAAACC